TATAAATATAACTTTTTGTCATATTTTGCTGAAACTTTCACTATATCCTGACAGTAGAACATGAGACAGATAATCTGTGAAAAAATCAGGTTTCTCTGACTACTCCTAGTGCTCCTAATGGCATTTGTAAGAATCCATGGGGCCTGAACGAAAACAACCAATCAGAGCAAAGAAACCTAATTTTTTCAGATTATTTGTCTTATGTACTACTGCCAGGATATACTGACACTTTTAGCAAATATGTCAATAATCAATACAAACAATATAAATTTTCCTACTGCAGCTTTAAGTTATAATAAAATGTATTAAATCAAAACTTAAATCCTGTAGGATAGTAAGTACTGGCTTTGTACTTTGTCTGAAACAGATACCCGTACAAGAGCGGCAGTGAAATCATTTACATCGAACTCTTCAGCACGGACTCCTTCCTCTACCTGCGCGCTATACTGGGCTGCAGCCAGGACTGCATTTCCCAGGTCACCGTCAATCGGGCAGGGACTCATGTTGTAGCCTTTTGCCCCTCCCCTCATACCGGCATCACTGAGCTGGTCACCTGGAACTTGGAGACAGAGGACCACAAACACATCACTCGTTTCCCTGCAGTGCTGACCAAAGGTGTGTCCTTACAGGGCTGCTCACACACAGAATGATTAATTAACCATTTGCTTTCCAATCATGGCTTAGCAACAGTGATTAGACATTGCAGGTCTGTCAAACACAAGAGCAAAAGTGTAAAGAATAGGTTCAAGGGTTTGTTGTCTGCTCTCTTGTCAGCTGCTGACATTAGCATGCCTGGCTAACTAGCTTGCCATTTATGTTAGTAACTCTTCCCAGGCTAAGAGTTAGCATATCATTGGTTAACTAGATTATTTGGTGGGGTTACAGGTCACTTACCCACATTTTCCCAAAACAGTGTTGCCATATCATTGGTTAGTTCTCATCCTCAAGTGTTTTCTCATGTAAAGGTGAAAAACGTTCAAAAAGGCTGGCTTTTGCATTTCTTGTCTAAGGAACTTGCGCAGTTCTTCACACACACACAATGGAGTTATGTAGGATTTCTTACTGTACTTACAGTAAGGCTATTTGGAAGAAAAATGCTGCTCCCTTATCTCCATGTCCTCTATATGGATCATCAACTGGTGATGATGCTGACTTTTTCCTGGGACACGTGCAGCTTTAGCATCTTTTTCACGTCATTACACAGCACTGAGTTAGCCTGATGTATGTAGTCATCAAATGCATATTTAAGACCAGATTTCTCATTTCAAGTCAAACAGAAACAATAAGAAGGCCGCTGGCGACAGATGTTTATTACCCAGCTTCGCTATAAACAGATATCTGCATATGAATTCAGAATTTGTCATAATGTGTCAGTATTTTGTATCAAGTTGCTAATCGGACAGCAGAGGAAGTCTTGGCCCTGATATACATCATCCGTTATCCGTTATCCAGATATCAGCTGGCTACACCCGAAGCCGCGGAACATTGACCGATGTCCCCAGAGTCCACATCGTTAGCTCATGGGTTCCATGACTGATTGCTGATTAAATCTAGTAGTGACAGTCGTCATTATAGCCAGCCAAATCAACGTATGACTGAAAATGAGAAGGGTCAGCTGAAAGACAAATCTGTTTTTGGGAGCACTGAAATAATGAGATGGCTGTAACTCAGTCCATAGGGACTTGGCTTGGGAGTATAGAGTCTGAACTGGTAGCTGGTAGCAGTGGTGGCAGTTATGCCAAGGTGCCCTTGAGTAACGCACTAAACCCCTAACTGCTCCCAGGGTGCCGCTTACATAGCAGCCCATCACTCCATGTTTGCTGTAAGCCCTGTGTGTGATCATATTTCGGGCCTGTATGTGTTTAAAAGCAAATGAAGTGAAAAAAGAATTTCCCACTCTGGGATTAATAAAGTGACACACAATCCTTTACTTTCCTTAAAGAGTAACTACACCCACAATAGTCTGCTGGAGCTACCATTCAGCCTGTAGAGGTCAGTGCGGTAATTCTAATTTCCCCTCAGGCCTGTGTTTTGATCTGCGCTTCTGCCTGGGGATCTGCAGCGGAGAGAAGTACCTCTGCCTGTGGGATCTGACCTGCAGGATCAGCGACCAGACTCTGACCTATAACATCCACAAGCCCCGGAATGACGGCACAGAGGAGGTCATCCCAATGGGGAAAACCTTGAGGTAAAAAATTTTTTTTTCTGTTATTTAATTTTAGTTTGTTTGGCTCGGTTATGCTAGTCAGTAACATACTGCTAACTAGCATTAATGGGAGAAAAAACATTCCATAGCAGAGGAACAAAGTACTCATTTAGCAATAAAGGGACAAAGAACCATAGACTATGTTACAGATCAGCAGACTAATCAGTAGGTAATTAATTGTCTTATTCTACTTTACTTCTAAATATATTGAATATATTTTACCTGAAGATCAATTTCTCCTACGTTAAGAAGCCAGCTTCCTTCTTCCTGGTATTACCCTTTCAGTACTCCACTCATGTTGCATGTGATTGGCCTATAATTAAAGGCTCTTTAATGTTAACATGCTCTCAGCTGGACTGGAGCACCCAGGGTTCACTGTGCCAGTTTATATTCAGCTAATGTCAGGTTTATTGACAGTTAGGGCCTCTACTGACTGTACTCAAAAAGTCATATTAAATGCCTTTATTTAAATGTATAGGTTGCCACTAGGGATGTCCGATCGGCCCTCCGATATTATCGGCCGATATTCACAAAAAAAAAAAATGTAATATCGGGAATTATCGGTTCGGTGTATCATTATCATTAGTCGGTATCATTTCGAGCGTTGCATGACGCAGCATGGCGTTTAACCGGCGCGCACTAGATACGTATAACAACACAACTTTTGGCGCCTGTGGCTCAGAGGCAGAGCGGGTCGTCCCAAGTCCAGAAGGTTGTTGGTTCGAGCCCTTTCACGAGCTCCCGATTAGATAAAGGACGTCCATGCAACTGAAAGGGTTTCGTTTGTAGATTTCTTCAAATTCGGTTGAATAATCCGCCATCTCTTCAGTGTGTATCCTGTGGAAGCACTAGTCAGTTGTTCAGTGCTTCTCTTATGCGTTCAGTGCTTTCTTCCGGCAACAACGTGAGTTCACGCGAGATGGTGCGTTCACATGTGAGAGTTAGACTGCTCGCATGACTTTTCTACTCGCTCAACCCAGAAACTACTTCAGGATCTGCATCCAGCTCTGCCTCTGCAAGGTACTGAGCCTCCACATCATCATTGGCTTCCATGACTTTGTTAGCCTCAATTATGAGGTTTTTAAAATTGTCTCTGAGTTCCTCTTCAGCCATTTAGGCATTCATCTGGACAATGTTGTTGGCCAGCCGGGAGAATTGCCGCTTTGCAGAAATCCTATTGGCTTTGAGCTGCTCCTGTAACTTTGAGTCAGCCATCTTCTTTTCCAGCAGGATAGAGTAAGGT